AAAGCTGCGGAGCGAATTAAGGGAATCGCGCCCCTTGGGAGCCGGTGACTGATTGCTCAGTTCATACAACTTTTGTTTGCTCTTTTGTCAAACAGGGACCCAATTCTCCCCCAAAATTACAGCATAAACTTGCTGGAATACAATGCTTCTCCAGGGTGAAGCAAGGGGCAGTGACTTTATTTAGTGGCGAGTCGCGTCCGCCACGTCATAGAGTTGTTAAATGGACATATTTGGCTTTTTATAGGGATAACGCTTGCCAGGCGAAAACCCACCGCGTCCAGAATAGTTTGCAGTCCTGTATACTACCCTGCCAGCGATAGCTAATGGTGATGTGGTCAATTTGTGTCCACGGCTGGCCAGGTGATGGGGGTCTCCAGATAGCGCATTGGCGCCAGTATCCCCGAAAGCTAGTGCTCGACAGAAAGTGGCCGTGATCGGCGTAAAGCTGAGGTAGTCGATCACCGCTATCAGCTCTGCGACTGCCAGGGTCGTGTTGATCGCCCAGTTCACATTCGTCAACTTCAAGTCCACCGACCTGCGCGATCAAGTCCCCGGCGAGCATCACAAGGTCGGTACGGCGCTTTTACAGATGTCGGCCGGTCGACCATAGAACTCATCTTTAACTGACTCCGGGCTACAATCTGTGGTAGCGTACGCTGCGGCAATGTATAGACAGCGTCTGCTGGCTTCGCAACTGGACAGTCGCACTGAGGTTTCAAGTCCGATCGTGCATAGTCGATTGGTAACAGGGACCCAGTCTATACCATTTTCCACTGAAGTTGGACAATCGGGCAAAACATTTACGCCTGGGGGTCAACGGGGTTGCTCCTCCGGGGCAATCAAGTTGAGTCTTCGCTATGCGGAATAGAACCACTCACTGGCATGGGAGGGGCTGTTTCATTGGCCAAGCGCCTGAGGTCCTATTTGCTGAAGGTGCTTGGCCAATGAAACAGCCCCTCCCATGCCAGTGAGTAGTTCTATTCCGCATAGCGAAGACTCAACTTGATTGCCCCGGAGGAGCAACCCCGTTGACCCCCAGGCGTAAATGTTTTGCTCGAATGTCCAACTTCAATGGAAAATGGTATAGTAGCGCGGCCTCAACACGTGTGCTTAATGCAATCCCCAAACCAGTATAACCAGCGGCTTCGGCGGTAGGGTCTCCAGACAGTCACAAAGTTAAAATGCAAGTGGAACACGTAGACGGTGAAACTAGTCGCAGCGTCGTGCTAGTCCTGTAAACGGTTTTCGCTGAGACAGCAGACATCAATGGCCGTAGTTTCTAAAGTGCGAGCAAGGGCTGCTTGTGATCCAATCTGCACCAGCGTCCGAACATTGAAGGTTGCCAGCTTGAATTGGGAACGGGGCACTAGAAAAGGCTTGTCAACACGACTTGGCGCATCTTCGGACCTAGGCTCCTGATCCGCATAGCGAGAAGGTTCGCAAAGGCGGCACGATGTTGTGAACTCGAAGAGGGAGCGGAAAGACCGAGAATGATGGAGGGGAGTTAACAAGCGTGGAATAAAGTGACTAAACGGTGGTGCGGTAAAACGTGGTTTGGCAGGTTCAACCGCCAGCGCCTCGGCCGATGACAGTAGTTCGAGAGAGTGAGAGTAGATAGAGTGAGCGAAGAATTGTTGAGACATGGATCCATAGGTTGTGTGGGCATAATACTTTCCGGTTGCCCAGGCCGAAGAAGAGGGTTAACTTAGAAAACCCCACCCGGAGCCCTGAGGCATAAAGACCTAACCGATCGACCTAACTGACTGACTGACAAAAATAGAGTATGCGGACGACAGCTCTTCTTGGGTCTGAAGCATTGGCTGTGCAAACACTACTGGATAAACTGATGCGTAACAGTGCACGCTTCGCCACATGCTTTGCAACTTCAAAGTGCAAAGTACTGCTGAAGAACTGGATCGAGACATCGGTTTTAGCCATCACCGAACGACCACTGGAAGTGGTGGATCGGTTTACGTAACTTGGTAGCTGCGTCACCACTGGTGATCACATCACTGAGGAGGTAACGTTGCGAATCAGCAAGGTTTTCCAGAGACTCAACCATCTACGGAAACGGCGAGATATTAGCCCGTCGGTGAAGGGTAGGGAGGCGAGTTGCCACCCACTGTAGTTTTAACGAAGAGTGTAAATACTTGGAACAGTTTGCCTAACATGTGACTGAGGCAACATCTGTGAAGTAGTTCAAAACGTTGTTGGATTTATATGCTAAAACTATTCGGTTCAGAGAACCACTGCACACTTACGATGACATCTCACATTTGAGAGTCCTGCAATACCGCGAGTCAGATATTTTAACTGTTACATGAGAACAATAAGGAAATTCACGGCCGGCAATTTTATAACGTTTTCCACCACATTTCGAAAGAGTTGTACAGAATTCATTTCTACTTGCTCTATAATACAGTATTTAATATTCAGTAACGCTGCGGTAAGGCCTGTGTTACTGGCTGGATCAGGGACCTGGCCAGCCCGAAGCGAAGACATTAAACGCCTGGCCGTGGTTGGTCATTGGTGCTTCCGGAGTATTGCTCACGTTTGGTGGAAACATCGGGTGAGCAATGTTGTGGTCCGCCAGTTGGTTTTCGGCAAAAAGCCATCTGGCACCTCACTCGAGCGCTTGCTGGATCTTTAATCGTTCACGTTGGCTAGACTATACCCTCCGTATGCCCGTTGATCGGCTTCCTCGGCGTGCATTATACGCCGTGGCTGCACAAGGTTGGGCGAAACCGCATGGTGGCCAGTCCATGACGTGGCATAGTGGCATGAAGAAACTGACTGAGAGAATTGGTCAGACTTGTGAGCGCCCATTTCGTGGATGGGGGCATCAGGATAGTCCACAGTAATGGTCGGAGACAGTATCGGACATGGCGTAGTCGCGCAGTCAGTGGTGTTCCTGCTTTCATCTGGTTGTTAATTCTCTTTCCACTCTGATTAGTCTAACGCATTCCCTTCTTGCTCCCATTGTCGCTACATTCTATTTGCACCCATACCCACTGTCCTACCGGTGTTATTTACTGCTATTCTTTTCCGACACAGCACCCGCCGGAGGGTGACTTGGCGCCCACCAGCCTCGAACCAGCCTTGGACGCAAACCGATCACATTGCGATAAGTTACCGATGGAGAGGCAGCATCCAGAACTGTCGCTCGATTTGGAGCACATGTGTGGACACCGATCATGCACTTCGATGGGCTGACATGCGAATGCGTTTTGACGGCCGCCCACGACGACGCTGTGAGCGCATTGACATCAGCCAACTGGCGAAGCCAGCTGTCCTGAATGCGTATCAAAGTACGCTGAGATACGAGTTGAGTAAGCGCTCACTGGAGACAATTAATGGTCACTGGTCGCATGTTCACCAGACTTTACTAGCAGCAGGCAAATCCTCATGTGGTATGTCTAATACCCAACATGGATATTGGGTCTCTTCGCGGTCTCTGGAACTTATCGACGCTCGCCGGCATATCCCGCTGGAAGCGAACACAATGAAACTCGCAAAGAGCTCCGGGCGAAATTCCGTGCTAGCCTGAAGAGAGACCACGAATCTTGGTAGTCGCATCGTGCGTCAGAGATGGAAGTG